CAGCGACTGGGAACCCAAACCGACCTGGGAACCCGAACCGACCAAATGTGCGCGACGCTGGGGCGAGGTGCGCCACGCGTGAGAGGCGCGCCACGCGCGCCAGGCACCCCTGGAGCCCAAGCGTGCCAGGGACGCCTGGTGCGCCAGATGCGCCACGTGCTCCGCATGCGCCAGGTGTGCCACATACTCCAGCCGCGCCAGGTGCGCCACGTTCGGGGCACGCGCAGAGTGAGTCAGGTGCGCCTGTGCAGGTGACAGCACACATCGGGAAACATGTCGGCCCCCACCACCCTTGTCGAACAGCAATGCCCTTCATTGTGTCTGGTGGGCCTGCGCACAGCAGGCCATGCGCCACCACCCCCGCCGTCCCTGTCAAAAACCACTTGACAGTGATCGCGGGGTGGCCGCGCATGATCCAGATTTTCCGCGAGGTACATGTTGTATTGATTTTGTTTGTTGGGGGTGGTAGCCTTCCGCACAACAAGCAATATACTGACACCCCGCCGTCCCCGCCGTCCTTATCGAAAACAATACAAGGTGCCCGCGGGCCTCACGAACAGGACTCAAGACTTGGCCCCAAAGTTTACTTTGTATTGTTGTTTGACAGGGATGGTGGGGGGGTGCCGCATCGGGTCGGCCGCGCAAGCTCCCGAATGTGGAGGCAAAGTGCGTTTTATATGGTTTTCTGACAGAGATAGTGGGGGGGTACCCGCACGGTTTCTGGTTGGCCGCCGGTCGCCCGGGGGAGGGGGTGTCAGTTAATATGGAACAGTGATAAAGACACCCTCCCCGCCCGCAAGCCGTCTCGCTCGCTCCCGCCCGCCCTCCCGACACATAAGTAGCACCCGCGCCGCAGCGTGTTCAGCGGTAGTCTTTGGACAGACGGCTAATGGGAACCAAGGCAGACCCCATGTGCGCAACGCGGGGGCGAGGCCCCAGATGCGCCAAATGATCCACGGGCGCCATGTGTGCCGCGTGCTCCAGCCGCGCTGGGTGCGCAACGGTCGGGGCACGCGCAGAGCGTACCAGGTGCTCCTGCGCACGTGGTGGTGCACATCGGGAAGCGTGGTGGCCCCAACCACCCTTGTCGAAAACAAGTGCGTAATAGTGGCGGGGTGGCCGTCATAGCGTCTGGATGGCCTGCACATCGCAGGCAATATGCCAGCGCACCCCCGCCGTCCCAGTCGAAAACACATGCACAGTGATCGCGGGGTGCCCGCGCATGATCCAGATTTTGCTTCGAAGTGCCGGTTTTATTGTTTTGGATAGGGATGCTGGCCCTGCGCATAGCAGGTAATGTGTGGGTACCCCCGCTGTCCCTGTCAACAAAACCAATAGGAAGTGCTCGCGCACCCCCTCCATCATGACCCAAGATTTTGCCCCAAAGTGGACTTCAATTTTTTTTGACAGGGATGGCAGGGGAGTGGTCTCATTGGTCCTGGTTGGCTGCCGGTCGCCTGGGGGAGGGGGTGTTTACTATAAGGAACAGTGGTAAACCCCTTCCCCGAGAAGGGGAAGGAGGGTTTGGGCGAAGATGGTAATACAACTCGTTACACCTACGCCCGAAGGGCTAGCGGGATTCCCAAGAAAGGAAAGGAGGCGGCCACCCTCAAATGCATTGACGCGAACAAAGGAGACCGCCACAACCCAGTATACAGATCCAGACGGGTCTTGAAAGATATCAAGAAAAAGGCGCGAAACCAAGTGGAGCTGTTCTCAGCCACGCCGCCGCTGGAGGTTTGCATCGCAATGGTCACCATCCTCGTGGGCAAGGCGAACGACGCCTGCCAAGACGGCGATAACGAGGTTACCATTCACAATGTTTACGATCTTTTTCGCGCCCATACCTACAGCGACGTCAACCGAGACGTATAGGCCGAGCTACCTGAGGAGGGTGGACCCGAACCACATTTGGCAAGACGATGACATAGACCTGACGACAGCAGACGGTTTCAAGAAGGGATTTTCAAACCTAGCCCAGTTATACCATGTTGAGCGGGCCATCTTAGCCGAGATGCACGGAGACGGCTTCGACGTAGTAAGGAAAATCCCAGGAGGGCGATTCGACGGCGGCGCGGCGTTGGCTAGGCGCGACCTTGAGGCAAACGGCCTCATGTCGACCAAGCCCCTGAGCGAAGAGAGCGTGGTCTACCTGAACCTCGCGCCGGCCTGGAACCCGCCCACCCGTCCACGTGATCGGCAGCCGTCGAGGCCGACGCGTGCCATGTGAAGGGAGCGTTGCGAGATCCGAGCTTGGACGCAGCCAACGAGGTCGCGACGCACGCGGTCTGGAGATCGTCTGCTGAAGTTCTGGAGAGCAGTCGTTCCTCCCTAGCCTTGCCAGAGGACCAGATCAAGACCTACTGGAGCGTGACGAGATGGATCATGAACCTCCGCATGGGCAGACCTGACATCCTCTACGCGGTCAGCATGCAGGCCAGACGCATAGAGGCCCCCAAGAGGTCCCACATGGAAGGCTTGAAGCGCATCGACCGCAACCTCATGCGCTGACCGGCCAGGCGCTTGCTACTTCTTGCCTAGAGGTTGCCCGAGAAGTTCAAGGTCGATTGCGACAGTCATTTCGCGGGCGGCCCTATCACGAGAACATCGGGCAGTGGAGTGGTCGCCAAGTTGAAGCGTAGCACTACGGTCCAGTCTACAGTGAGTTTGAGCAGCGGCGAAGCAGAATATTACGCGCTGCTGGGGGGAGCAGGCCATGCTAGCGGACCTTGAAATGGAGATCGACGCCGAATTTGCGGTGTGGATGTTCGGCGACAGCTCAGCCGTGCGCGGGATCGCGCGCAGGCATGGACTGGGCCGGCGCTGTTCGAAACATGGATGTGTGGTACTCTTGTCAGCAGGAGCGAGATCAGAACAAACGCATCACCATCAAGCTCGCCAGGGGCCAGAAGAATGCCAGCGGGTCTCTGCGCGAAAGCCATGGACCAGGAGATGATAGAACGGCTTCAGAAGACGATTGGGTTGAAGACGGTGACCGACAGCCGCGGTAAGCACCGCCGCCTGCGAGCAGCATCTTATCTTATGAATTCTTCGGGGTATCTCTCTGACCTTCCATACGCCAGCCGATCGCTTGGATCGATTCAAATCTTCTCCGCGCCCTCCCGCCGCTGACCCTTCGGCGCTGAAGGTCGAGGACGGGTGTTGATGGCAGAGGCTCGCATCTGCACATAGCACGTTTGGGTTTATCTGAATTTTGTTCAAAACGAAGGGCGACACGGATGCTATCCTCTTTGCGGCGCATCGTGCTTAAACATGCGAGTGACCTATAAGCACGGCGCGCGGGCACGGCGCGGCACACTTGCTTGCATTCTACAGCCGAGGCACGGCCCGGCACGGCAGAGCACGTTTGTCTTTTCCTGGACCCTGGACACCGCACACTGCGGCACGTTTCTCACGCTCCAGATTTCAGGCACGGCACGGCAAAAAAGCATGTGTCACGCTTTCGAACCCAGGCACGGCACGGCATGCGGGCACGGCACGGCACCTTGAAACGGCACGGCATGGCACATCCATCGCTCTCTAGAATTTGAGCGCGGCACGGCACCCGGGCACGGCATGGCACGACGTGGCGCTGTGGCGGCACATGTGTCGCATTTTGTGTCAGACAAGCGGGCTCTCTCACTGCAGCCCATACGATTTACAACATTCCTTATCTAGGATAATAGCGGAATATCGAGACTGACATGTCATATTGGCCGTAATTGTTGCACGCCCGCGTTGCCAGCAATGTAGGTTGAAAACGTGAGGGCGTTATGTCAGTTTCTGTTGCATGTGGATGGTAACATTTGTGCGATGTCTGGCGCGCTCGACTTGATTGTAGGGAATGCGTCAGCCTTGGTCGAAGCTCAAGTGCAGGACTAACTGTTGCATTTGGGCGGTGCTGGCGCAAGCGATGCCAACGAAACCATCGGATCAAATTTTATTTCAGATGCCGCGTGATGTGATCGTCTATTTTGTCGTGCACTCTTCGTGGTTGAGTCGTCCCGTGCTCTAAGTATTCGTTAATGTATGGTACATCGTGGATTGGGCTGGGGGACGTGTTCCGACTCGCAGGTCCATGTATACATCTAGTGTTAGGGTTATGCCACGAGCATCGATTTGCATTTTCAGTGTCATTTTGAATGCGCCAAGAATCTTACATGCCTTAGTTGGTTTTTAATCCCATTTGGTGTTATACTTGTTTGAATGGTATTGTGTCCGCCAGGGGGGTATGGGGGGCGAGAAGTTACCATGAAGCGCGCGATTCACCGTCTACTCATATTTCCAGGAATTGTGTATGAGTCATGTTGATGTTGTCCTCGCCTGGACCGTGCACAGAGGATGCACTCAGATAGTTCTCCCACCCAGCATTAGCATTAAGATGATTTGAGATGTAATATCGCTGGTTTTCTAGAACGGGTTGCAGGTTTGTGGCTTTTCGGTCGTGCCGAATCGCCGATGCAGCGGCGATGCTGCACGATTTGGGATACGGTGTGCTTGTATCCCGACGTTGTCGATGCATCGGCGGTGCGGCGCGATTTGACTAACCCATTCGGTAGATCTGGTAGGCTTGCGCACCGCCGGTTCATTTTTTCAAATTCGCCGTGTCGCACAGCAAAACAGTTCGAACTGAAGGCTTGATGGTTGGAGGGCGAATGGTGTTCGATATAATGTCTGGGCGCATGTTAAGGAAGTCTTTCTTGTAACCCAAGATGGGTACTATAGCAGAGCGAATCTGTTAAGCATCTGGTGGCATTGAAGGTCGTCGCCGAGCATCACTTCACGACTCGTTGTACCGACGGGGAAGCTTTGATCGCAACGCATGGCGGCATGGCATAATCGTCAAATTTGGGTTCGAGATTGCAGCACACAGCGTCGTCCGCACCTATCGTCCATTCGATTATCTTCAGCATTGTTCTCTTGCTCTGTGGGCATTCTTCCTCGGCCTGGGCCGAGGGGGGGCCGCAGTAATTGGCGCGGGACTCACCCCTGATGTCCAGGCCGAACGCAAGAAGATGTTGGCAAACTTCAGCAGCCCTGCGTTCACCAAGACCGCAGTGGTCTCGAATCCTAGGGGGCGATTATCCAAGAGCGGGACTAGGGCCCTTGGCAGGAGAGGCGACAGAGCCAAGGAAAGACAGCCTGGCAGAGATTGCACTGTTGATGAGACGGTGGAAAGCGGAGGCAGATGAATTGCGGGAGCACTGCAGGAGGGCGGGAAGGGCAAGAGACCAGGGCAGGCGTGGACGTCAGCTGATCGTTCGAGCCAGCGTTGCGCGTACGTGCGTAAATTTATTTGGCGCCAGCCTGCCCAGTATTTCCAGGGTGGTCGTCTTTACAGCCGTGTCGGCCTCGTTGCGAGTCCGCGGTTGTGGGCTGCTCGGCCATGCCGGCAGTTTGCACCAATTAGTGGATCGATATGTGCAGCGAGACTTTGGTTGACCCCCGCCTGGGCCTGAAACAGTTGAAGCATCGAGGTGTCCATGGATCGAGTATCAAGTGGACACACGGAGCACAGCGGATTACATTTAGTAAGATTTGGTTAGAGCGAGGGATTGAGAGCGAAGTGAACGCATGCTGACAGATTTGGTCGACCTTTTGTCCTGGTCTGGCGAGTGGCGTGCCCATCCCATCCTGGTCGATTGCGGGCCTTTCTTCTTCATCAGAGCTCTCCCAGTGTGACACCCAGTCGATCTTCGACAGCGGTGCATTCAGTAGAGCGCGGGAGTTGCCCATCGGCAGCGAGCCGGCAACAAACAACATTGGTGAGCACGCAGTTCGGATTGTACCCGGACGCGGCCAATTCGGAGCAGGTATGTGTGCGATTGATCCGGCTGGAAAGGCGCATTCTCCAAGCAGCGTTTGCATTGTAGGGTCCTCGCTTGGCCTCCAATCACCGAGCGCGTTCCACCACTCGCAAAGTGCCTACTCGCCAACGTCCGAAACACAAAACACATGTTTGCCCCGATATAATGGATCGTAACCCTCCCACGGCGGATCTAGGCCATTTGCGAGTAGTTGCTTTGCGAAAAGTGGACCGCGCTTGTCTACCTAAGCATGCCAGTGCCGCCGATTTCTTTTACCGTCCATGGTCCCCGACTATCCCTGGCTCTGGTGCTGGCCTCCCTCGCCGCCGACGTCCGTCCTCGTCCCTGGACGCGACTGTCCTTGGCCCCAGCGTTTTAGCATGAAACGGGTCCTGTGGGAAACGGGCTTTGGACCCCCGGGGCCTCCCTGCAGGACTGGTTCTGCATCCGGAGTCGCTTTCTGACAGCCCCAGGGCCCGCGGAGGGCCCCAGGAGCACGAAAGCGGCGAAACACCTCAGGACCCGATTCCCACAGGGCCCGCTTCCTTCATGGCGAGGTGCTGCCCTCCAGCGCCGCCAGTCTCCCTCGCCGGCCTCATCCCCGACGGCGTCCTGTCTCGACGACGCGCGCAACGGGGGGGGCAGGGCGGAGGGGGCGGCCCCTGGTCCTTCCAACGTCTGTGCTTGCCGCCAGGCGACCTGCTGCGGTGTGCCTCATCCCTGCCTGCAGCCAGCCACTCGCAGAGGGGCGGGGGCATGGGGGGGAGAAGGGGGAAGGGGCTTCTTAGACAGAAGGGGCAGGCACTCTCTGCAGATCGAAGGCCCGCGCCTTCTGGGAAGCAGCCTCCTCCTAAGACGCCTTGCCCCCTCCCCCACACCCCCCTCTCCGCGCCGCCCATGCAGTCCCGAGGTCCTGATGGGAGAACCCTCCGAAGAGCACAAGGCGAGGGTCCAGGCCCGCGCGCCCCCAGCCGCGAGTGGTCGATGGCGGCTTCCAATCTCCAATGGGCTTCCAGTGAGAGCGGGGTGAATGGCTTGGCTGGCTGAGGGGAAGGGTGGAGGGCAAGCAGCACAGGCAGCAGCAGGAGCGCGAGGGGCTGTAGCCACAGCCATTGAACCTGCTGGCCGGAGCCCCGAAAAAACAATACGTCACAATCGCGCGTTGCGACGGTGCCAATCCCGCGGTGCACATCGGTGTGTGTGTGTGTGCTGATCTTGCGGCGAAAGAGACAGAAAAACGGCCGATTGGGATCGGCAGCGCAAGCGGCCATCGCAGAGGTGGCCTGAAGAAGGGGTGGCTAGCCAGCTCGACTCCGGTCTGCCTCAAGGTCAAAGACGTGGAGGGAGAGATGGCCTGCGAGAAGTCAGTTGCCCCTGAGGCTCGACCACGTCTGCGTTGGGCCAGAAGCAGGGATAACTACACTGCGCCCTCCCCACGCCACTCCCCCCTTGCCAGCGAGCCACGGAGTCAGACAGGAGGAGCAGCAGCAGCAGCAGAGCAGGCAGGAGGACAACTTGTCGCATTTCTCATACCAACACCATCATCAGTATCATGATCATCAGCAGCATCATCATCGTCATCGCCATAGTCATCGCGATCGTCATTGCCATCCCCATCATCACAAGCATCCTCATTGCTATCGTCATCCCCACAATCATCACCATCAGCATCCTTATCATCCTCATCATCAACATCACCATCAGCAGCAACATCATCATTATCCCTCCCTCCCTCCTCTTCGTTTACCCCCTCATTCACACCAGGGAATGCGCGAGGGAGTGATGCTGAAGGAGGAGGAGCAGCCGCGGCTGCATAAACACAGATACTTGGAGGTCTGCGCAGATCTCCAAGGTCGGCGCTGGACCCCCTTGCAGACACCCTTACGGTCGGACCGAGACATAAGAGCAAGGCCGGTTCGGGGAGGATGCCCTAATGTTCTCTGTGCCTGTTGGCACCGCCTGCTTCGTGGCGCGCCCCGCGCGCTGGGGAAGGGTCTGCTGGGCTTCCGGCAGCTTCTGGGGCTAAACGTCGTTGTGGCGTTCTCCAGCTTTCGTCCCGTCTCGGGCCTCGGGAGCCTCGCTCGAGAGAGCAATAGGTCATGATCATGAGAAGGTCCAAGATCTCCAGGATTCCCTAATATTCCCCACGAGCGGGTGTGGATTCCCATTCTTATGTTGGTCCTCTCTATCCTGTTGCAAATGCACGAGCCATCACATGTTTGTCGTCAGCTACCAGATGTGCGCGACCTGTACTGAAGATTTCACCCAGGCACGTTTCATTGTCCTTGGTCGCAGCCTGCTCCTTTGCGGGACCGCTCCTCCAGAGCTGGCGTGCAGGCTGTACCTGAACCCTCGCCCTGCGCGCTCCACTACTCGCAAAGTGCCTGCTCGCAAGCGTTTTCCTCGATGTAATGAATCGTACATCCTCGGCTGATCCCGGCCATTTGCGAGTAGTTCTTTTGCGAGTCGTAAAACGCGCAAGTGGGCTCCTATACCCACTGTGCCACATGAGCTGCAGAAGCGAGAGCCGCTAGATACCCTGGAAATCCTGGAGAGTACAGTCAACCCTCTTAGTAAGGATGGGCCATCTTCCCAATGGTGCCTTTGCATCCTTGCCTCCTCGGTTCGTCCTTGGCCAGGTTTGCTGGCCGCGCCCCGCCTGCGAAGTGTCGACATGGCCTGCCAAGGCCCTTGCATCCTTGTCGCGCGTCCTTCTGAAACGGATCGACTGTATCCTGAGCCAATCTGGTCATGAGGTCAGTCCCGTCTGGCACACAGATCGCACTTCACAGCAAGCCGAGGTCAACCGCCAGAGGCGCGACGACGAGCGCGCTCCGCGGCCTGGGCCAGAGATCTTCTCCAGGCTGAAGGCGTGGAGAGAACCGCGCGAAGCGCTAAGGTTCGGCCCGTGGAGGATGAAACCAGCTTAACCCAGATAACACGATGAGGACGTAGCCTCACTGAGGTCCCTGTCTTCGCATGAGGGATAATAATTCTGGGCGGTCTGGTTCGATACACCGTCAGACAAAGACCCCCTACCCCTAATGTTCCTGGCCCTCCTAACTTAGGTCCCCCCCCAGAAGGTTCGGGGCCATTTTTCGGTGGCGGGAAGGAAAGTGTTGGTCGAGTCGTCTTCAAGGCGCCACTGTTCTGTCGCGGCGTCGGGCGTCGGGTTGACCTCTCGAGCCGGGTAGAGGCCCGCAGCCGAGGCTCACGGGAGTGGGCGAAGGTCGGCGGTTGAGGCCTTGTGGGTTGGGCGCCGTTTGGAGGTGAGGAGTTCGTGATGGTTTTGCTGCGTTTCTTCATGGATCCACTCGCTCGATTTGGACCCGTGCAGGCCGATTTGTAGAGCTGCGAGGAGTGCGTCATCCTCTCCGATCACAGGACAAATTGCTCGCACACGGAAGCCCTGGTCCGAGCGACGGCAAGGGGGCCTCGGGAAGATTCTAGTCTTTGGGCAAGGGTTCTTCCACAGACTCGTCCTTGTCATTTTATCATCCGATTCCTCATTGTCCTCATTCGCCTCCTGCTTCTCCTCCTCCTCCTCCTTCTCAAGGTGTCCCTCCTACTTGTTCCTCCGTGCGTTCCACGTCATGCAGTCTAATATTTCTTCATACGTAGTCAGAAATCAACTCACAACTACCTCTTCTAGTGTCACATTCCCGCCACCACGTCTCCATTGCCTGTAGGCCCTGATCCTAGACGAGAAGCAGGCTGCCATAAACGCGGAACACAAGGCAAAAGTGATGGAGGCCACCCGGAAGAAGATGGTCGAGGATGGACCGCCGCGCGGAGGAGGAGGATTTGGAGGAGGAGGGGGAGGAGGAGGAGGAGGAGGGGGAGAAGGAGAAGGAGGACGCTGACGACGGCGACGACGACAAGGACCGGCCGCAGAGCAGCCCGTATGGCTTTGTGCCAGTGTTCCCCCATACAACAAGGGCCTCGCATCCGATACCCATCTGTCACTCGACTGGCGTAGATTCGCCGCGTCGCGCAGGGTCGTCGGGCGGAGGCTTTGGCTCTCGCCCCGCAGGGCAGCAAGAGCTGCGAGGCAGTCTCGCTTCTGGATCGCACTGGTAGTGCCCACCTCTCCTCCGCTCCCCCCTCGGCGGCGCGCCCGGGAGGAAAGCGAGAAGAGTCGGGCCTTCTCAGAAGGCTGGAAGGCCTCCGGACTCCTGAGCATTTTGCTGAGCCTTCCCCGAAGACACAGGAACCTTTCCAGACGGCCCGAGGGTTTCTGAGAAAGGCAGCCGCCTTCTGAGAAGGTTTTCTCCTTCTCACTTGTCCCCTGGCGCGCAGCCGATCCTCTGCCCAGCGAGGAGAGAAAGCGAAAGCTGGATGAGGCGAAGAAGGCCCGAGAAGCGGCCGCTCGCAAGGAGAAGGGCGAGGACGGCGCGGAGGGCGACGCCGAGGTGCCCCTCGCATGCCGTGGGGGGACGGAGCACTCACGAGAGAGCCAGTTGAGACATCGGCGGCCCTCCTCCGTCCGCCCCCCCCTTTTTCTCAGTTGTTGCTCCTCCCTCCCTCCCTCCTCCCTCCCTACTTCTCATTATCTTATCCTCCCTCCCTCCTCCTCCCCTCTCCTTATCCATCCTCCTTCTTCCTCCTACTCCCGTTCCCCCGCCTCGTCCTTCTGCTCCTCCTCGTCCTCCTCCTGTTCCTCCTCCCTCCTCATCCCTTTGGTATTATTGTCCTCCTCCTCCTTTTCATCCACCTCCTCCTTCTCCTCCTCCTCATCATCATCATCGTCCTCTCAAGTCGCACGGGTCCGAACTCCAAGTTCTACCCCCGTGTGATGGGCAATTTGTTCGAGTCCGCCCCTACCTTCCTTGAGGTGCTTGAGGGGCCCAGCGCCGTGCTGCCCGCTCGGTGGCTAAAGGGGACTTCTCACTTGTTCATTCTCAGTCATGGGAGCTTGTGGTAAGAAAGGAGGCGCTGGCGCCAATGGCAAGGGTAGCACACGGTGCCGTTGGACGCATTGCCAATCATGCGAGACTTTTGGGTGGAACGAATTGCCCGTCAAGCGCAACGGAAACTGTACCTGCGGAGTACGTTTGACTTTGCACTTGGTCGGCACAGAAAAAAACGTAGTGGGCCAGCCATTGGTGACAACTCGTTCCCTCTAGCACAACCTTCTGGTTCTATTTCGGCGACCAAAGAGGGAAAGTCGGTGGGGGCCGCGGGCCTTGTCACAGAAGATCTTCCACGCGAGGCTGCATTGCAGGCGCAGGTTAGCAAGTTGAAGTCAGAATTGGGTGGCGTCTTCAGCGAGGGCACAGTTTGTCCAGACGACGCAGTCAAACGAGCAGCGGGTGCAGTTCGGGATGCGACGCTAAAGCACGAACAGTCAGCGCAGGCTCTCTTCTAAGCTTGGTCCAATCTAGCCCGTGCAAAGTCGCGTTCGATACAATCGCGTTCGATGAACATGTCTTCCAACATCTTGACGGTATTGAGGGCATCACGGAACAGGAAACCAAGCAGTTCAAGGATATAGAGCACCGGTTCAAAGCAGTTAAGGGGCAGATTGACCCCAAGGGTACAGACGGTCAGGAGTGGCCCCAGATGAAACAGTCCATTCAGGCGCAGCTCAGGGAGAGTTTTGCGAAGAAGAGGAGGGCGCCAGACGGATCCGAGGCTGCGTCAGCGCCCCAGGCGGCGGCGGCGGCAGCCGGCGGGCCCGCGGCCTCGGGGCCATCCTCGGAAGTCCACTTGACGAGGAGCTGCAGCTAGAGGCCAAGCGCACCAGCAAGGCCAAGACCGCAGAGGCCGATAATGCAGCTAGAGCAGCGGACGTAGGAGGCTTTTTTCCTCCACTGGCCACTCGCTCGTTGCTAAGGCCGAAGAGTGGGACAGCTGGCCCACGCTCTAAATGAGAAAGGACCGCTGCAGGTGGGTGCAGGTCCCCAAGGGCGCCACACCACAGAGACTTGCTGAGGACGAAGTCAGTCCGAGTCCCCCGAGTCCCACTCCGCACCGCCGACAGGCGGGAAGTGTGGCGCACCGTCCACCTCCCTCGGAGAGGCTACGACAGCACGCAGCTGCTGCACCCCGTCACTTCGTGGGCTCGGGGCAGCACGCGGAGCGGGTAGGGGCGGCGGGAAAAACACTCTGCCGGCCATTATATTTCTCTGCAGGCGCTGTGCCTGCTGCGCCTCTGCTGTGTTGTACATCTGAGGCGCGGACATGCAAGAACTGCTCGTGGGGCGCTTGCCCTCCAAGAGACTACTGCGGATGTTGAGTTTGCCCCCGCCCCTTGGCTTGCCAGGGCAGCGCGCGGCCAGGCTCTGGACAACATACTGGCAATAGAATCCACATCTGAGAGAGAGGAAAAGATTGGCGCGTCTGGCATATCGGCCACCGCTATCTGGTGTGACGAGCGATTCTCGCGGACAACAGCTGTTTTGCATGACTTGGAAAAAGTGACGCAGGCCGAGCAGCGATAAGGAATGGGCCCGTCCAGCGCCTCCCACGAGTGCATAACACCGCAGGCCAGCGACGGCTCGTGCAGCATCTACTTTGTGCTGAAGCTCCTGCGTGGCTGTTGGATTGAACGATGGATGGCAGGCGCCAGCCTCCTTGGCAGTCGCGTCGGCTGCCTTGTTGACCTCTGCTGCTAGCTTGGCCTCTCCAGCCAGTGAGTCTACCTGTTGGTGGCTCTGAATCTTAAAGGCATGCTGCAGGTTGTGTATATTGTCTTGGGCTGTAGCAATATTGTCCAGCCCTGGGTACTTCGACTTACTGCTGAGGCGCCGGGGCAACGGTCGAGCTTGCTGCTCAAGGACCGCTTTGCAGTCCAACCACGTTCTCGATGGTTTGGTGAGGGCTTCCTGGAGCACCAGGTGCCCCCCAGCTCGCGACGTCCGGGGGAGATTAGCGGCAGCATCCCCAAAGAAGGAGGCCTCCGGGGCCCCGTCGGCGCTGTAAGCCACAACCGAAAAAGCCGCCTTGCTTAATTCCGTTAGGCCTGCCCTTGTGCATGACCCGTCAGTCCCCGCGAGCCCCCCGATGTCGCGCGCTGTGTCAGGCTGCCCGTCGCGCCTAACGAACTTGGCAACGGGGTTCTGGAGTGGCAGCGGGAAATCATCGCGCCGCTCGCTTGGGCGCTCGAAAACTTGCAAGGCGTTGTTCTCTGGCGCCTCCAGCGCAGCACGAAGCGCATCGGGCGGCAGGCATTCGGTCCTGCGGGCAGCTGTCTCTGGGCGCCGGCAGCAACGCAGGTGGCGATGGGGGTATCACCGAAGACCTTACAGAGGACACAGATTTTGCACGTCATACACTAGTCGGGAAAGTTCTCCCGCCCGCCACCCTTGAACCGCGAGAGTTCGGGGGGTCGCCTTGAACCTAGGCGCCAACTTCTTGCTTTGGGGGGGCGAGAAGGACCTGGCAACCTCGAAACAAACCTTGGTAAGAAGAGGTCGGGGTTGGGGAGGCCCTCAGCTGCTGAGACCCCCCACCCCCGATGACGCCCTTGCTGCAGCAGGTCGCCGAGCAGGGGGGGGGAGGGCATCAGTAAGTCTGATAGGTCTGCCGAAGTGATCTTGCAGAGTAATGGCTGCGGCACCTGCGGTGGCCTCAGGGCGAGGAGGCGCTGGCGCGGGTTCGACTGCGTCGGCGCGTTCCCTTATGAAACCCAAGGAGTCTGCGCGAGCTGGAGAACGCGGCCGCGGCGACCAATGTGCCTTGGACGGCCCGGGCCCCATCGGCTGCAGCTCCTTTGCCAGGCGCCTTGGATTTTCCCAGATGTGCACGGATTGCCCCCCCTGGTAGCTGCAGCCGAGTCGGGAGGTGCGAAGGGCAGTGCGAGGCGGCCAGTCATGGCGCATAAAGACGAGCTTCAAGCATCGCGAGATCTTCGATTTCAGCCCGAGTCTCAACCGCGCGTTTCGTCGGAGGGATCCGGAGCAACGAGGTCGATGTCTCTCCAGCTTCCAGGAAGCAGGGCGCCAGTCCATCCGCCTCGCCCGGAGTCGGCCCGAACGCGCGCGGCGCGCAGCAGGGGCGCGACGGCGAGGGCGTGGGCAGCGGCGGCCCGCGTCAGGCATTTGCACGGCAACATCGCTCAGTTGGGCCTCCAGGCTTCCGCGCTTTCGTCCGGGAGACCGATCCTGCTTGCGCATTTGGAGTCTCGCCGAAACCCGCGCTGACGATGCGTTTGCGGCCAAGTGGGCCGCGCAGACGCGTTCCCCGTCTCCTTTTCGCATCTTCCCTTTTCCAACCCCGCTCGGCCTTCTGGGAGAAAATAGTCGCAGGCCCAGGAGTCCAGGGCCAGCGATGGCGGCGAGGTGTTTTTTGTTTTTTGTGGTAGGCCATCGGCGGGCCCAGTCTGCAGGCAGCGCTCGGTCTCTTCTCGACCTCGCGGCCGCGTCGCGCAGTGCTCCGGGCGGTTCCCTTCCCATCGTTGTTCACGCGCAAGGGTGCTCGATTGCGTCAGTGTTGTTCTATGGGCTTCGCCCCCGAGGATTCTCCGGCGACGGCGCGGGGCGGCCCGCTCGTTCAGGGGCCTTCCTGTCCGCCCTGGCTCGTCCCCGGGTCGTTTCGGGAGATTTTTAAGTGCCCCTCAGAGCTCAATGGCAGCGAATTTCTCGCGTCGCTCGATGCAGGGCCTCGGCGGCCGACATCGAGGCCACACTTGTCACGGGCTCGGCGCGTCGCCGCATCGATTTCTCAGTTGCTAGCCATTCGGCCAGGTGTCGCATTCAGCTCGCGCGAGCAAGGCCCGTCGTTCCACGGGGCGCGCACACACTGCGAATTGATTCCATCGATAATGCGCCCAGGCCCGCGCTTGTTCACGCGAGCTCTTCAGGCCCCGCCTCAGCTCCCTCAGGTTGCCAGGACAGGGTATCTCTCCCAGCCCGGCAGCAAATTCAGCGAGTTCCATCGGCGGCCTTTCGAGGCCGGGCTGGAGGCCACACATGCTGCACCGCGCTGCGCGCGACGAATTTTTCTGTTGCCTATTAGGGGGTTAGAAGGGGTGGGAAAGGAGGAGCCGCGGCTGGTCCTGCCTCCGAAGCGCACGAACTTTAAGCCGACCCTTTGGACCGGAGTCCAGCTCCACGGAGTGGCGCGGGTGCGGGGCCTGTCGACCCGTGCGGCGGCCATGGCAATGATCGGCAATGGTTGGGAGAATGACTTCAGGAATTAGAGCGCCGAGCTTCCCCCCACTTTGGCGAGCCCCCCGCGGAGGCTGATAGAGCTTGTCCTAAGGCGAGTGCCGAACCTGTCGGCGTCCATCTCGATTCCTGATTCCACTTGGCTCTGCCATTCGTTTCATATAGGTTTTATCCGTGAAGCTCATGTGGTTCCATCATTATGGTGACGCATGCGCGGGGTCCGCATGCTCCAGAGCTCAGGAGCGGCGTTGCGTCTTGGGCCCTGGCGACAGAGCATTCGCTTTCCGCCCATCACTGCGCCG